ATGATGGGGACACTGGGGACATTATGGGGACATTGGGGGATGTTTGGGGATATTGGGGACATTGGGGGACATGGGGGACATTATGGGGACATTTGGGAACATCTGAGGACATTGTGGACATTGGGAGACCTTGGGGGACATTTGGGGACACAATGGTGACATTAGGGGACACTGTGTGAGACAGTGGTGTCACCACGGGGTGACACTACGTGGGCATGATGGGGACATTTGGGGGACATTTGAGGACACTGGGGGTAATGTCCCCACAATGACCCCACAATGACCCCATTCTGATCCCACAACGACCCCACAGTGACCCCAGAATGTCCCCATAATGTCCCCTAATGACCCCACAATGACCCCACACTGACCCCATAATGACCCCTTATGACCCCACAATGTCCCCACAATGTCCCCACAGTGACCCCCAATGACCCCATAAAGACACCATGACCCCACAATGACCCCACACTGACCCCTTATGACCCCCCAATGTCCCCACAGTGACCCCATAATGTCCCCACAATGTCCCCAATGACCAAACAATGACCCCAAAATGGCTCCACAATGTCCCATAATAACCCCACAATGACCCCATAATGACCCCACACTGACCCCATTATGTCCCCACAATGTCCCATAATGATCCCATAATGACCCCATGATGACCTCTAATGACCCCACAATGACCCCATGATGACCCCACAATGTCCCCAATGACCAATGACCCCAAAATGACCCCACAATGTCCCATGACCCCACGATGACCTCATGATGACCCCTAGTGACCCCACAATATCCCCTAATGACCCCATAATAACCCCACAGTGACCCCATAATGTCCTCACAATGTCCCCACAGTGTCCCTACGCTGACCCCACAGTGACCCCACACTGACCCCACAATGTTCCCATGATGACCCCATAGTACCCATAATGACCGCACAAAGATCCCATAATGACCCCATAATGTCCCCATTGTGTCCCCAAATGATCCCATAATGACCCCATAATCACCCCTTATGACCCCTTATCACCCCATAATCACCCCACAATGACCCCTATTGTCCCCATCATGACCCCATAATGTCCCCACAATGACCCCATAATGACCCCACAATGACCCCTAATGTCCCCATCATGACCCCAGTGATCCCATAATGACCCCATAATGTCCTCATTGTGTCCCCATTCTGATCCCATAATGACTCCATATTGACCCCACAATGACCCTGTAATGACCCCACAATCACCCCATAATGACCCCTAATGACCAAACAATGACCCCACAATATCCCCACAATGACCCCACAATGACCCCATAATAACCCCAAAATGTCCCCTAATGACCCCAAAGTGACCCCATAATGAATCCATGATGACCCCGTAACGACCCCAAAATGACCCCACAATGTCCCTTAATGATCCCATAATGATCCCACACTGACACCTTATGACCCCATAATCACCCCATAATGACCCCATAATGTCCCCTAATCTCCAAACAATGACCCCACAGTGACCCCACAATGTCCCCCAATGACCCCATAATGACCCCAGTGACCCCATAATAACCCCACAATGTCCCCTAATGACCCCAAAATGACCCCACAATGAATCCAGGATGACCCCATAACCCCACAATGACCCCACAGTGACCCCTTGATGGCCCCATAGTGACCCCACAATGACCCCATAATGACCCCATAATGATCCCACAGTGATCCCCAAATGACCCCTAATGACCAGTGGCCCCAGAATGACCCCAGAATGACCCCAAAATGACCCCACAATGACCACAAAATGACCCCACAACGACCCCACAATAACCCCATAATGATCCCACAATGACCCCAAAATTACCCCACAATGACCCCACACTGACCCCACAATAACCCCATAATGATCCCATAGTGACCCCACAATGTCCCCAAATGACCCCCTAATGACCCCAATAACCCCATAATAACCCCCATAATGACTCCAAAATGACCCCACAGTGACCCCATAATG